GCAGTAATTTATCTTCTCTATTTTTCTCTCTTTCTTAGCAAATTTTATTTAACTTTCTCTTGGGGTTTGAGTCTATAAATTATCTAGGTACTAACCCATCAGTTTCTCGAACTATCCCGTTATATTTTAAATAAAAATTTCTCTTATTAACTATAAGAGGACCTTATGATGATCTTATCCTGAATTTGAGTACAACAGGCCTATATTCAGTTGGGCTTTCCTTTTTGGACAAGTAGCATCGGATAGCATACTTTCGAAGCATAGATAAATAAATGTATGTATATATGTATATATGCGTGCATGCAGGCATTAGTGAAAGCACTGTTTTTTTCTACCATTCTCTGTGTTCTGACCCCTAAGGAGTTGTCATCCAGAATTGCAAATCAATTTAACTTTTTAAAATGCTGTGTTACTTATTTTTCATGGTTAGATGAGAAAGAAGATAGCTAAAAAATTAATAGCATACCAGTCACTTCATCAGAAGTTATATCTATTCAATTGTTGATGGTACTAAATTCACAGAAATATCACGCAAATTTTGTTCAATATTAAGCAAATGTACTACTTAATTTTAGATCCCTATTAGCCCAAATGTGTACATCTGCTTTTATGATAACCTTTAGACTTTTTTTCCCTGTCAATTAGTAACAACTCTATTTTAAATGCATATTAGTTCATTTTCTAGCTCCAGTAACATAAAAATGCCTATTGGTGGGCTTCTGTCCAGTCGAGGCGAGAAATACACTTTATCATCTACTTTTAAACTGTCTATCGTGTTGTCGATTTATTCTAAAAATCTCATCTGGTTTTATGACGTATCTTATTTTCTACTTGACTTATTAATCTATCTTTTTATAGGTTGAGAATAAGAGCATCTTTTTTCGTAAGCGTTAAAATAAAATCTAAGAATCAGTTTTTATTTTTTTGAATTTCCATTGCGTATAACTTACATAAACGCATTAAATGTGCACATCCATATGTTTCTGTCCCATATTGCCGTCCACAATCGCAGAAGACGGCAGCAAGCCTCGTTGGCTAGACAAGTCTCCAGCTGCCGCTGCTGTTCACGAGCACCACTTTACCGCTACTACCTCTCCACACAAGCTGTTTCCCAATGATCCACAAGCCGCACAAGCCTCTCCCCTCCATATTTCTTCAGGAGAATCGACAAACCCTTCTATTGCAACCACAGCCTCCTCAGCTCCTAACTCCAGTTCCTCCACCTCTTGTCTCCCATCATCATTGACTTCGTTGAATGAACAATTGACTACATCGTCTACTTCGCCATCGTCGTGCTCTACAGCTTTATGTGCTAGGTTTAATTCAGAGTCAGAACTAGGTTTGACTACCTTGACTCACGTAGCGAAATTATCGGCCTCGATGCTCCCAACAGCTGCTGACTTCACTGGAGGCGGCAGTAGTAATGATGGTGAAGTTGATGGTGATGGCGACGGCGATGCTAATGTTAATGGTGATAGTGGTGGTAATAGCGGCAATATCGGCAACAGCGGTACTTCTGTCTGTTCTGGTAGTGATTCTAATAGTGGCAATGGTGGTGGTGTTGTTATTGTTGTTGAGGGTGCCTGTTGCAGGCTCGATGACTCGAATGACCAGCTCGCTACGGAGCAGAGCTGCAGACAGATTGACCATCTTCTGCTCGCCTCTGAAGATGTCGACTGGACCAGCCTCTCATTAAATCGCGAACAAATGTCCGTAAACGAACCGACAGAGGCCCCTTTGCAGAGTGTAGATGCCGATGGCGATCTCTTAGGTCAACCTATTAGAAATCAGCTCGTTCTGCCAGTTTCTGTAGCCCCTTTTGACAACTTTTCTACACCCTCGACTTCATGTCCAGCTACAACTTTCCTTTCTCCTCCGCCTGTTTCTTGCCTGGCCGTCGACAAGTCTCGACAATCTGCTTTCTATCAGCTCACCTCAAATATGCTACCAATGGGTGGACTTACGCTAACATTGCCAACTGGCTTGTCAGTGCCTGAGCTCGCCTATACCGACGTAGAGGAACAATTGCTCTGTGGCAAACAAATCACATCCGGCGATCCGATGACGGTGGATGAGGAAGGCAGTTATCTCCATTCATCATCGTCTTCTTCCTCTTCTTCCTCTTGCTCATCTTCCTCTTCAGTATCTCTATCGTCAGTTGGTGGTGCCTCGAGGCCATCCTGTCTCCAGAAAGATCCTCATTACTTTATGGACTGCATATCTGACAAAGGTAGTGTCGGTAATCATAGAGGACGCACTCCTGGTGTCAATGCCGATTGTCTCGATGCGGAACTAATGCTGCCACATGGCATCGAGAAATTTGAGGGGACGACAGGTACAGCCATCACTCCGTTAGAACAGGTTTTTGTTCTCCCTTCCAGGCAGATCTCCTACCCGACTGCCACCTCTATAGTGGCGGGTACGGCTATTACCACTACTGCTCTGGAGGCAGTAGAAAGGATGAGCGTGGACGCCAGGGCCGCTTCGTCAGATGGTAACTGCTCCAAATATTACTGCTTAAATCTCTTTTATCTTGTTTGAAATACCAGACAACATATTATCCCACCTTGCGTTCATAATAATTAGGTGTTCGAGACTATCATTAGATCTTAATTATGAGCTTTTTTAGTGTCCCTAGGTCGCTCAGGCTTATTGGAATACCTTTCCGGAAGCAAGGCTGAGCGAAATTCGCTGGCATCTTGAAGTCTATTCATGTGGTTAAAGGAAAATTCACTCCAAGTCCCTCATCACTCTAATTGAGCTAGATTGACTAGAGTTCTTAATTAGGACCTACAGATAATGGTTTATAGGAAAAGACATATTTATCTTCAAATTAGTAATGGTTAATCGTAGGTAAACACGGACTTTTATTTCATCTTTATTATATTACTAGATAGAATTAAGTAGCGTTATAAAGTACCAGTAAATCTATGTTTGAGTAATAGTAAGCCATTTTCAGCTGCTCGCTAAGCAGGCCTTGGAGTGTCGAAGCCACCTACATCGACTAGCGTCTTATTAATGGTTTGTTTCTGATTTCTTATACTACCGCAATATTATCAATTTTTTGAAATAAGATCCCAATTTTCTGGGCTCTTTAACTCTGTATTCATCCACTTATTAGCTCATTCCATCAGTCTGGGGTAGACCAAAGTAATATTCGCTATTAATTTGTACGGCTTGCAATATCTCTTGATTATAAATTATTTATAAAAGCAACTAGCTTCTTATTGGTTATAAAATATATTATTTTTACACTGCTACGCATTTATTTTCTTTATTAGGCTTTATATTTCTTAATGAATCATCCACTCGTCACTCGGATCTTCTCACTTCTGAATACCTCCATATGGCTGAGCCACCACGTCCACTTGACTCTGGTCTCTTAGGTACATCTCTGCTCGCTGGGCTGCCGTTTGACATCTGTGCCGTTGGGAACAGTGGCGGTACTGCCAGGAACACAGGGTCTCACTGTCTCTGCGCCAAGCAGACGTCCGGATCAAGTGAAGTTGTCGAGGAAATCAGAGAGGAGGAAGATGAAGATGAAGACGGGGAGGAAGAGGATACGGAGGAAGTAGATGAGGAAGAGACAGAAGTGTATAATGAAAACTTTCTTAGTCGGATCACGGAAGCACAGTGCCTCGCGGACTCAACTCTTTCTTCAGATACAACTTCGCACGACTCAAAGTTCGCACACTCAATTGCAAATGCGAACTCCGATAAAGGAGTATCCGTGACTATGTTGACTAACGCCAATTCTAGGCTCTTGACTGAAAAAGCTGTTGTAAGGAATCTCAATACCACTGCTAGATCTGAAAGTGTTACTGGCAGCAGCGACAACCTAGAGCTAGATCTGCTCTGCTTGGCTGGTGGACCTGACTCTAAGATGGAGATTGAGCCTGCCGCTGCTAATCATCAATTGGGCTGGCGGCAAATTGGTGATAATTTTCACCAACAGCATCACCAGGACTTTCAGCATCAACCACAGGCCCAACGACATATGGATATAAGTACAAAGCAGTGCGCGATGCCTAATCTAGCCGAGACTAATACATTTTGCCGGCCGGATGAGCCTGTAAGTGATATTTTGACCTAAAATGTGGTGCTTTGACTTAATCCTATTTTAAATAATCATAACTTTACGTGGAAGTAGGTGATAAGCGAAACACCGGGTTATCAACTCCCTTGACTTTTATGCTTATAATTACACTGTATGACAATGGCCTTCTTTAGAATTTTAAGAGACTTTCGTCTCATTTAGTAATGTTCGACTTCCAGACGGAAACGGTTCCTAGAATGTTAGAAAGACTGGCTTTTACCGTAGAACCTGATAATGTGCCGCATCTTGGAGTTGAGCAGGATACATTATGCAATATGCGATTTATTATTAAAGAAATGCTGCTTTTCAGTTCTCGTCTATAGCTTGATACGGTACACTCTTTAATACAACAAATCCATGCCACACGGCTGTTCATTTCTACTAACGGCCTGGTTTATGCATTTTGTTTTTGCTCTTTTTCTAATCGCCAAATGTGACCAGCCAGGTAACCTTAAATGCAGCAACCAATCCAGATCACGTCAACACGCATTTTCACACCAACATGTCTGTTAGAAATGTCACTTCTAGAATTTGTATGCCGCTCGCTAATGAAATTTATCCCATTTCGCCTAAGCAGTACCTTTGCGACTGTTGAGGGAAACTCCTCACGTAACCTTGCTTGAGTTTATGATCAACAAAGCAAGCGGGTAGGAACACTAATTCTAGCCTATTTAGGCTAGTGTTTTAAAATTGTTGCAGAGAATTTTTTCTATGCAAAAGACTTGTGTCTTCACCTTTATTAAGAATTTTAAACTAACTTCTATGTAGTTAGCTTCAAAGTCATTTTCATTTCATTCCTGAGTCAAAAGTCTTCCTAACACGTTACTATAGAGTTATGTAAATATTCTTAAATTTCTCGCAGAATTTCCTCTGCACGAAAATTGTACACTTGATGCGCTTTATTCAGAGTCTGAGGCTAGGCAAGCAAGAAATGCATTAATCAGTCATGGTTTGTACGAAGAAAAGTTGGGTTTCGCCAAATCTCTTGTTTAATAATTGTTGAGGTTACTTCCATTTCGAGTGAAAGTGTTGGCAGAATAGATTCGAATGTCGGTTTCACCAGAAAACGACGGCGGATTCCTCTTAACCAGTTGTCGATTGACTTTACTGGAACATTCATGTTGACGCTGTTTCCGAGGCAATCTCCTTCGATTCCGGTGAAAATGTGCTAAGCTTTCGTCCGTCATATGACGGACATAATCAGAGCGAGGTAACATTGTCACACTAACGAGTCAAGAAAACTCACCGGTAAATCCCGAAAATGTGGTATATATACTCTTGACTCGTTAACTTGAATTTTTTTGTGACGATGTTACCTCGCTCTGATGATGTCCGTCATATGACGGACGAAAGCCTAGCCCG